CACCAGTGCCTAGCCATTCTGGGACTCCTATCCTCCACCATTCTTATGGTGAGATGGGCGCATTGGAGATTTTGCCATTTCCAATTTGGTTTCCTGAGACAGTGGAACAGATTCGATCACCGGCAGAAAATGTTTCTCTCTCCACAGATGAAAAGTTCCCTATGGTGGTGGACAAACCGAACACATTTGACCCGACACCATCTCCTGCCAGTACCAAACACCATTGTGGTCACTTCAGATGCCAGCAACATGGGATGGGGCGCACATAGCCAAGGACTGGCAGCCCAAGGTAATTGGAACTTTTGTCTAGAGTCAGCCACCTTGAACGTCCTGGAAATCCGGGCAGCATTCAAAGCCCTGCAGTCGTTCTCCCCCCTGTTACGTGGCCAGATTGTCCAACTATTAGTGGACAAAAAATAAATGGTGGCCTACTTCCAGGGACGGGGGGGGGGGACATGCAGCAGAACCCTGCTCAGAGAAGTAGAGTCTATAATGTCCTGGGCAAGGAGCAATCTGTGGGATCTAAAAGCAACTTATTGACTAGGGGAGCAGAACTGTCAGGAAGCAGGGGATGTTACCTCTACTCGGGGACCACGGGCACGGCGCAGGGCACGGGTTCCCCTTCAGCTCGGTAGAACACCTGGTGCCCGAGGTGCAGGTGCGCATGCGCGGGTCATGCGGCATGGTGCCTGAAGTGGCTCAACAGCTCCGCCTCCTAAGAGAACTGAGGCGGACCCTAACGCAACAACTTCAGGCTGCGCAGCAGCGGCACAAGACGCAGGCAGACCGTAGACGCACGGAATCCCCCAGATACAAAGACGGGGACAAGGTGTGGCTTTCCACACAGCACCTCAAGCTGTCCTGTCCCTCCCGAAAACTGGGACCCCGTTACCTTGGTCCCTTCGAGATCGTGAGTATGGTCAACAACGTTGCCGCCAAGCTCCGGTTGCCTGCTTCCCTAGGAATCCACCCGGTATTTCACGTGTCCTTGTTGAAACCTCACCGTGCCAACCCGTTCCCGGGCCGGGCACCTGCTCCACCGCCTCCCATCCAGGTGAATAACGATGACGAGTACGAAGTCCAGGAGATCCTGGACTCCCGCCGCCGGCGTGGGGTCCTTGAGTATCTCGTCCACTGGAAGGGGTACGGTCCCGAGGAGCGTTCCTGGGAGCCCTCGGGGAACGTCCATGCGGACGCCAAGGTTCGGGCGTTCCATCGGGCTCACCCCGAGAGGCCTTCCCAGGGTCGCGTCCGGAGGCCGCTCCTTGGTGGGGGGCTCTGTCAGGAAGCAGGGGATGTTACCTCTACTCGGGGACCACGGGCACGGCGCAGGGCACGGGTTCCCCTTCAGCTCGGTAGAACACCTGGTGCCCGAGGTGCAGGTGCGCATGCGCGGGTCATGCGGCGTGGGCGCATGCGCAGTACGCAGGCTGCGCGCGCATCCCCGGGAGCATAGCGTTCTTGCATCATCTGGCTATCAGGTGTGAGCCTTGCTGGGGGAGGTTCCCAGTACACACCTTCATCTTCCTCGCCTGCCATTGGTTCCCGGGGAGGGAGGCCTCCTGGTTGCCTCGGTGACCAGGGGGTGGTCCTACCTCCCCTGGCTATAAAAACCTGGCCTGAGCTCTGGCTTATTGCTGAGTTATTCCACCTTATGGTGAACACCTAGCCTCCCTGCTGATCCTGCTATTGCCATTGCCCCTGTGTATCCTTCCCGATTACCGACCCTTGGACCGTCTTCTGCCTTTGAACCTTCGCTGCCTGCCTCGACCCGGATTGGACATTTGACTACCCCTCTTGGATTATCCCTAAACTTGTACCGCGTTTCTGGACTGTCAGCTGCTTATTGCCAGTGGGTTCCTCATCTCACTACTAGCTCCCTGGGACGTCTGACAAGAACGTCCTGGCGGACTACCTGAGCCACCATCGGATTGCAACCACAAATGGGAGCTGAACTGGGAGGTTTTCAATGACATCACTAGCCGCTGGGGCTTGCCGGAGATAGATTTGATGGCTACTCAGGAAAACAGGAAATGCTTTCGGTACCTGTCAAGGTTTCCCTCTCCGCAGGCAGTCGGCATCGATGCTCTAACCTTCCCATGGGATTTCTCCATAGGCTACACCTTTCCCCCGTATCCCTCGATAGGGAGGTTCCTGCACAGAGTCTCTCTGTTTTCAGGAACAATAATAGCAATAATACCGTACTGGCCCAGGAGACCGTGGTTCTCTCTGTTAAGTCACCTGAGACTTCAGCCACCTATTGTTCTGCCTCCACACCGGGACCTTCTATTCCACGGCCTGTTTCTACATCCAACCCCAGAGAGGCTTCATCTGATGGCCTGTAAATTGAGCGGCACAGCCTTTCGAACATAGGCTGCTCATCTTCTGTGTTATCTACCCTTATGAAGGCTAGGAAAGCTTCCACCAATGCTACATACCGAGCTATCTGGGATAGGTTTGTTTCTGTGGCTCAGATGGGAAGATTGGATCCCAAAGCTTCTTCAGTCTCCAACGTTCTAGACTTCCTGCAGGAAAGATTAGACTTAGGACTAAGTTGGAATACACTTAGAGTCCACGTCTCTACAATATCTGCATTAACTAATACCAGATGGGCGTTCAATCCACTAATCATCTGCTTCCTGAAAGCCTGTTTCAAAATTCAACCTCCCAGGAAGATTCTTTTTCCACAATGGGATCTTTCGTTAGTCCTTTCAACATTATCAGCTACGCCCTTTCATCCAAATGCTCACTCTACAATTTAGAATTCGACACTGAAAACCATATTCCTAGTTGCCATCACATCAGCGAAACGGGTGTCGGAACTACATGCGTTATCATGTAGGGACCCCTACTGTGTATTCTTCCAGGAAAGAGTCGTACTGAGACCTTTCCTGGAAGACCTTTTGCCCAAGGTGTCCACTCCTTTTCAAATAGACCAGGAATTAGTACTTCCCCCCCTTCCAGGATGAGGAGGGCAACCCACATGCGCTAGATCTGAAGGACGCGCTTAGTTTCTACATTGCAATTACTGCTTCCTTCAGGAAACACGATAATCTCTTAATTGTTCCTATAGGCCTTAGAAAAGGATGGGCAGCTTCTTCCAAGACCATAGCCTCTTACCTCGTCAAAGCCCTCCAGAAAGTCTACTCTCTGAGAGGCCTTCCAATTCCAAAGGAAATCCGGGCTCACTTAACTAGAGGTGTCACAGCATCCTGGGCAGCTTCTTCCAAAGTCTCTGCCGAGACAGTGTGCAAGGCAGCTACATGGTCTTTCAGCCACACTTTCGTAAACCACTATCGAGTTGATCCATCTCAACTAACAACCTTGGCCCTTGGCAAATCTCTAATCTCTTCCACCACTAACGTGTAAACTTGTTTATGTCTTAATAAATACTGGTTTAGCATCCCACCCTGATGATCGTTATTTCCCATTGTGTGCTGCCATGATGCGCCAGGAAAAAGATTGTATACTTACCTTTGGTAATCTTCCTTTCCTGGTACATCTTCATGGCAGCACACCTTTTCCCACGCTTCCATGGCTCGTGCTTGTTACGTGAATGCCGTGGGCAGTGGGGGATCCAAATTTATAATTGACTTGTCCTATAGGGTTAAGTGGCGGAGCATTAACCCGTTGTGTGTCGCCATAAAGATGCTCCAGGAAAGGAAGATTACTGAAGGTAATTATACAATCTTCCGATAAATATACTGTATATATAATATAGATCTTTAGTTAGACCTCATTTAAAATACTGTGTCCAGTTCTGGAGGACCTCACTTACATAAAGATATTGATAAAATTGGATGAGTGCAGAGACAGGCAACACAAATAGTGAAGGGTCTGAGTGAGAAAACATATCAGGAGAGACTATGGGGGTTATCCACTCAGCTGCCGAAGGCCGAACGCTAAAATCAGCTGTACATCGGCTCACTTCGGTTTAGCCGAACATGCTCAGCATGTTCGGCGGAGCCAAAGTAAAGAAGCCGTTTGACTCTGGTATTCTTTCAGGAAAATAATACTTTCTAAGGCTAGTTTTGAACTTTGCTCCTACTAGTTTACGGTCATGTTCCCATCTTCTTGGTCAAGAAAGTATTATTTTCCTGAAAGAATAGTTGATGCATGGAACCGATTTCCTGTAGAGTGCCATTGTAAGTCAGTCAAAAGTAAGTGAATTTAAAGCGGAACTCTAGGTATGACTTTTTAGGCATACGAAGATTGGTCCAGCTTGGTCCGATATAAGAATGCATGTCATACCTGATTGGCTGCTGGGGATCCTGCGAAGCAATGTAATAGCCGGGGCGACTACACTGCTGATCTTCTTGGTCCTTTATGGTGCTGTGCTGAGCAGCTTCACCTCTGTTCTGAAAACAAAGGGGGGTCACTCGCTTGGCACAGCGGACATTCATAGAATGCCTACTATTGTTAACAATGGATCCACAACTTATCTAATCTGAGAACACCTTGCATTTATACTTACATTGGACCAAGCTGGACCAATGCACTGTAACTATTAAACACATTATTTTAAGTATTAAATGTTATACCTGGGGTTCAGCTTTAAACATACTTGGGACAAATATAGAGCTATACTCAGACAAAAAGGATTTTTTAAAAACAAACAAACATTCAACAAAACCACTTGGTCTTATTCTGCTGTCATTCTTCTACAGTATATGTCAGTGTTTCTATGGTTCTATAATACATGGGTAAGCAGAAAGAGAGATTCTGATTGGTCACTATGGGCGGCAGAAATTGAAGCTATTCTTGCTTCACAAACCTGTATTATTGAGGTTATTGTGCTCTAGAAGTATAACTGCAGCAGATGGCTGAGAAATCTATTAGAAAAATGTCAGACGTGTTTAGTAAACTGTGGAGCTCAAATCTATTCCTCCGACATTGCCCTCTGTATTCAGCTGATAGTCATAATCACATGTTTCTGACTGACAGGCAGACTGTATTGAAGACCGTGAAGAAATAATCAGTCTTTCATCCAGCTAACTCACCTTTGTGCTGGTTTCATTGGAGGAATTTCCCAGAATTCTGTAGGGAGAAAGAAAACATGAATGTTGCCGAATCTGGAACACATACAACTTTCTTTAATAAAGAGTTCTTCTTAAAGGAAAACTCTGGAGTTTTTATGCCATTATTTTTTGAGCGTTTATAAAAGATTGTAAAGTCATGTAAAAGATTAAAGAGGAACTTTACCAAAATATTCAAAATAACAACAAAGGCACCTTTAGAAATGTTTAGTAATGACAATCTACAAACACATAAAGTACTTCGAGATAAATTGCAGGCTTTTTTTTTGCATAGCTTATTTTTCTTTTCTTCCCTAGTATTCTGACAGTGGCCATTTTAACTGAGGGCAGGTTACTAGATCTCCCTTTACTTGCTGGAACTCTGTCACATGTGACTAGGACATGTGACCATGCACATCATCCCAGGGGAGGAAAATACCTTTCCTTGAGATATCATGATATTACAAATGAGATTTCCCCAGCAATGCTCTGCTGATGTAACCTTTCCAGGATGCAACGATTGGTCACATTACATCATTTGTACCAAAGTGGACAAGGAAGGGGGGGAAAAAAAGTTGTAAGTAAATAAAAATATGTTTGTTTAGCTAGTGAATGTAAGATGATTTCATATTAGCATGCAAAGCTGTATGCTGATATAATTTTTATTCAAAGTGGGTAAAGGTCCATTTTAAGCACACCCCAATTGTTGCCTTTTTCAACGGATTTGAACAGGCAAAAAATAGATCTTTGTGCCTACAGATAAAGGTGATATAGCAGAACAAATAACCAGGGGCGTCCCCAGACCGGATGTGGTGATGCACTGGCATAGGTGTGAAAATAGTTTCCCTTTCCTACTAAATTAAAGCTTATAGATGTGCACCAGCCACATAGGAAACAATGGGATTTGTACTTGTAATGCATGTACGAGTGTAAAGAGGTCATCAGAATTGCACTGAAACGAGGGCACTTATATGGAGGATTTGAATTATTAAACTGTCCTGTAGAGATTTGTATTTACTATAAATGATCGTATCCAGGGCTGTTCCTATAATGAGGCAGCCTGAGCCACTTGGGGGGCAGCCAGGTGGTGGTGGTGGGGCAGCCACAACATCCCAGTTTGCTAAGAGCGCTTATGAACCTGTGACACCCTGTCTGACCTCCTGCCCAGCTCACTGATGTTACCTGTTGTCAAGAGCTGAGTGGGATGTTCTGGCTTGCGTCCCAACAAACTCCTGACAACCAGTGACTTCAGTGAGCTGGGCGGGATGCCAGATAAAGCCGTTAACAGCGCGGTGTCCGGCATCCTCTGCTGCCCCCACAAGCATTTTCCCTCCTTGCACCACAAGCGTTCCTTGTCAGCACCAAACACCCCCCCCCCCCCCGACCCCCAGGAATGACATTGCCTCAGTCAGCGAATACCATAGGTACGGGCCTGATTGTAGCCATATTAGTGCACTATTGCAAAAACCCAGTTGCGCCCTGTCCATAATACCCCCTTCTTCTAAGTCCAATCAGTACTCAACTGTATTTACTACAGTGTCAGTGAAATCTATACTGACACTGAATATTAATGAACAGTGGTTTATAATAATGATAATATGATATATGCATGTTATAAAACATGGTTTCATGTATGCAGCCCATTGCATATTGTTGCTATAAATACTTTTAATAAGTTATAAATATTCAGTTTGAGAAAGCGTAACCTTGGTTTATTGCCATTGATTCTAACCTGGGAGAACTAAAACTGTCTTTTACACATACAGCGCTATAATAGGAACTCTCTGTAATGCCCTACGGCAATCAATCATTTTCAGACCTGCAGTGGAAACTGACAGTCAGAGAAGTAAAATCTGGTTGTTGTGCTGAAGTACATTGTAATTCCAACCTTGACAGACTAGGCCCTGCATGGTTATGTTTTCTAAATTAATACGTGATTTTATCAGCTGCATCCTCAACATTCCTCCAGGCAACAAAGTATCTGCTCCTGCTCCTGTTTGCAATAAGTACACTTTCATGCTACTGTGTTGTATGGGGGAAAAAAATATAAAATTAATGCATAAACTTTAATAGGTAAACAGACACACAACACAGATTTAGACCTGATGATTTTAAACTATTTCTTTGTTCAAAGCATCATTTTAGCTATACAGATTCACATAACCATATAACTAACTGCAAAACAAGATACCGTTGAAACTGGTTAAATGTGATTTCTGTGTAAGCTTTCCAAGCAAAGACGTACATGCCTTCCCGCGGGTGCCTAAATCTCACGACGTAATAAATGTGCTTGTTTGCAATTCATTTAGCGCTGCATTGGTAATAGCTCTCCAAGTGACATTAGATTTTACTTGTTATTTCAAATGGAAGAGCAAATACCCTAGGACAAGCTGTTCAGCTCTGTTTTCAAAAGATTTCACAGAAAGCCTTTCAGTCAATGCATTCTGTTCAGTTAAAAGAATCAAAAAATAAAAGACACAGTATACCTGTGCCCGTTGTTGTAGATCTCACAGGGACTGTTTTTGTGGTGGTGGTGGTGGTGGGGGGGGCTTCCCTATTATCCACATTTACCATAGCTATTGCTCCAGCTACAGTGAATGTTTGCAGAGGAAACTTAACATTACTGCTCAGGGAATCAAAGCCCTGTTTCTCCTGCTATGTCGTATGATATGACAGATTATTAGCTTTGTAAAAGAGGCTCTCGCCTGTTAAAATTACCCTGTCCTCAAATAAAGGTTTCCCAAACAAGTGTACCTAGGAATACATTCCTTGCCCGCTGCTCATGGCACCACAATGCTGCTCCATCCAATAGAAATCCTCCGCTGCAGTCCACATGAAACCAACTCTTCTCGGTCGCACTCTTGTGTTCCCTGTAGCTCTCACTGGTCTCTCTCAGTGATATCCATGTCAGTTCTGTATCCTTTAGTGACATTGGGGCAGGTGGATCAAGAAATGCTGGTTTCCAGTAGATGTCAGCGGAGGAAAAACACAGGATTCTGCCCCAAAATAAGCCCAGGTACTTCTTTGAGCTTCATGCTACAGGCAGCAAGTGATGCAACACTCAGGTGTCAAAGGACTCATGTATCTTGAGTGCTGTTGCACTTCGGGAATAACACAACAAAAACATAGATGTGAATGGGTCCACGGAGCTTTACAGAGAGCATTCAAATCAGTTACTGCCCCATTCACACACAGTATGACAGTTACCGATGCAAGCCAACTAACCTTTCATTATGGTTTGGGAGGAACCCAGTGTACAAAGAGAAGACAAGGTGGAAATACAGTGAGAACATACAAACTCTACATAGATAGTGCCCACTGCTGGCATCAAACCCAGGGCAGTATATCTACAAGGCAAGAGTCAAAACATCATGTTGCCCTCTTTTTACCTCTGTTGCTTGCTAGATCTTAGCAGTCACTATCAGTTACGCACCAGCTGCACCTCACTTGCATCCACATCAATGGTATTAAAACCTGTAACAGTACTAGAGCAGGAAGACCCAATCCCAACAACATTTTTACCACAGTCTGGTTCCTAATTAAAGCTACCCAGAAGAACCAATGGGGTAGCTCTGTTCCATTCTTAAAACCTTTAACTTAAAACTGACATCTAAATCCACAGATGATATATATATATATGGGTGCGGTATCTAGCACAGCACTTCATGTGACAGGTGAGAGGTCAAGACTGCTCTCCACTCTCACTGTTTACAAGGAGCAGCAGGGTTTGTTTTAACCCTGCCGCTCTCCATCCTGAAGACTTTGGCGGCCAGCGAGGAGAGATACTCGGCGGTGAGGGGGAGGATGGAGCCGGGAGAACGGAGCCAGCAAGGAGAGAGGTAGGCGCAGGGGGGGGGGGCAAAGGGAGGACGGACAGGCTGCAGTCTTATTACAAGTGATCTTGGTGACATCGCCGAGATCACTTGTAAACAAGTGGATTCGCCACACTACATTTAGGCTTGCTTTCCCAAAGCTGGCCTAAATGTAGAAAACAACTTACCGCCCGGCACCCGGAACTGCATGTCCCGGGCGTCGGGAGATTCCACAATGCTGCCACCCCGCCGCTTCCTGCCGCCCCAAGGCCGGGCCTCGGTGGCCTTGTGGTGAATCTGGACCTGGGTGCGGTTTTACCTTCCAAAGAATTAGTAAATTCTCTCCATCTAGTCCTCAGATTTACTAGACATGTGCGATTTGTTTCGTTACGAATCGAAATTCGTACGATTTACACATCCCTGGCAGACAGAACAGCCAGGCTGGTGACCAGACTGTTTCTATTACAATACAGCCTGGTCACTTCTTTGTCTCTAGCCTGAGATTGGACGGTAAAGAAGCAGCAGCAGACTTGTTTAGCACAGCAGACTGCTCTCTCCTCCTATCAGCATGTTCCTTGGCTACTATATTTGCATGCAGCATTTCTGATTGCCTATTACTCTCCCAATTTAAACTCTACTGTGCATATTCAAATACAGGTACTTGCACTAGTTGCATTTGAAAATACTTTTAATGAATACGCAGATGCATTCACAGGCCATATACATTTTTTACGCCTGGTGTTCGGCTTTAACTGGGTTCCTAAATACCCCTCTACTGGGACTCCAGGTATCTGGACAGCAGCACAAGCTGCAATGGCTGTATGTGTGTCCATGACCAGTGCTTCTTTAAAGCAACTGTGCATAGATTTCAATGGCTTTTCATAAGCCGTGACAGGATCGAGAGGTGAGGGAACCCGGTATGTGTTCCCTCACCTCCCGATCTACTGAGCCGACCTGTGACAGTCTCATTGTCATAGTTCTCCTTTAAGTAAAAGTTTCAGGGCGTCAGAACAGAAGATATAAAAAGCTAAGGTGGAATGGCTCAAAGAGATATTTACCAACACGCAGCTGGAGTCCTGTTTTGTAATTACATTGTAAAAAGAGAAATTGCAGCTTATATAGATTAATAGGCTCCACAACCGTTTCAACAGCTCCTAATACTGACAATTTGATACACGAGGCCCGTTATACTGTGAAGCAGAAGGCTAGAGAATTTAGGAAACCACGGCTAACGGAACTTAAGAAGCATCTCTGATATATAAAGTACACCATCCAAAATGAACCCAGTGAAGCAATAATGTTTATACAGTGTCATTATTTTCAGCTGTTGTACAGTAATGGGGCTCAATTGCAAAATTAATATAGGCTTCTGAGATTTCTGCAACCTCTAAAAAGGACTGAACGGGTACGAGAATAACAAGAATGCTTAACAGGCCACAGATGTTCTTAGACACACCAGGAACCCAAACAAATGCATGACCTGCCAGGAAATCAGTCTGAACTTGGCAAGAAATGATGGCTCTTATACATTTTGTAAATATAAGGTTTAAGGCTTGCTTAAATCTTGTTTAGGTGGTGCCCAAAGAGGATCAGTTGAAGTAACCCTGTAACAACCTGGACAATTGTTAAAGCAGAACTATGAGGTGAGTGCTTTTCACTCACCTCATAGTTGTAGCCGACCTGTGACAATGAGACTGTCACAGGTCGGCTCAGTAGATCAGGAAGTGAGCGAACACATACCGGCGTTCGCACACCTCTCGATCCTGTCACGGCTCTCTGCCGTGACAGGGAAAGGGCTGGATTTCCCCCTCCCCGCTCCGATCCGCCAGCGCTGACTGGCGGAACGGACAGGGGGCGGGTACAGCTGGCTCTGCCTCTAGATAGGCAGAGCCAGATGTCAGTCACGCAGATGTCAATTGTCGGGATCTGCTTCAGCTGCGGCGTCTCAGTATACCGCGAGCAGTATACTGCAGCGTCTCAGTATACCGCGAGCTACAGCTCACGGTATACTGAGCCTAGGGTGACGGGAGGACGCTAGTTTGTGTCCTCCCGTTACCCTAAGGAGAACTATGGGGAAAAGCCTTAACCCCATAGTTCTCCTTTAATATGATGTAAAAATGCACAAGCAGAGTTTACCTTTAGTGAATTTTCTCACTACATCTAGAGATAGAGGCTGATAAAATTATATGCACATCTTGGTTCAACTTTTCCTTTAAAAGTCACAGTTTGTGACTACCTATTGTTTAATGACTCCCTATTGCTTACCCTAGTGAACAGTTGTATTGCTGACCATTAGGCTTGGGACCAAGCTCAACTTTTACACATGAGGATGAGGGAGGTCTGGACTGCCACA